TAATAATTTTGGAATAAGGTTTGCATTTCAGATTATGAAACACCTTACTTCATTTGTTTAAAAATAAAAAAACACTTCAATAAGGCACGCCAGATAACCTGGCATACTCCAGCTCTTCATATCTAGAAGAACTGCAGTTGTTAAAACTACAGGTTGTTTGCTGTTGTAGGACAAAGAACCTATGTTCGTTGCAGAATGATTGCAACTTCTCTTTACTGACACTACCTGACAGACGTGCCAGTTGGCATGATTTTCTCATTTTTCAGCCTTTTGTTCCTCTTGCTTGATTTTACTTCAAGAAAAAACAGGAAATCATATAAAAGAAATAATTCAGCTATGGAAAAAGTAGATCTGGCTATTTTTAAGATTCAGCTGAAGCCAAAAAGCTTAAAAGCGCTATGTCCTGTGGTATCAACTGTCCTTTACATGCAGTTCTTAGAATCAATTTTGTTCAAAGATATAACGTATACTCAGTACCAGCACTTCTTTCAAGAAATACTAGGTATCAGGAAAATCTGACAGAGGTCAAAAAAGCTTTGCTCATTTAATGCATTTCTACACAGTGTGATAAGCAGGTTTTCAGCACAAATGTGCACTGTGTATACACATAAATAGCATTACTAGTTTTTATACAGTTATTAGGCAGGGGCAATCTCATGGGAATTATGCATCTCCCATGGACATTCTCAACTCTTTTTCAGGCTTTATTATACATCTCAGTCATCACTCCTTTTTTGAGACACATTTTAAGGTACAAAAATCATTCCACTACATTAACTCTATAACCATGGCATATCAATCTTTGTTTCCTGGACTCCTCATTGGATGCTCCTTCCCCCAAAACGGGAGATGAAATATGTTAAGTGACATTTTTGGTGGACTTAAATATTTAATTTTTTTTCTTCGTTTTCTGAAATTTCCCCAATTCGTTCCATTGAACAAACTACAAAACTAATTTTACATCTCTTCATTTTTTTTGTATACATATTTTTCTTTAATTACAGCCACTGTAGTTACTTCTTGTTACTTTTGCAATCAGTGTTTTTAAATGCATCTTTTTGTTTCTGAAACATGACTGAAAAAGCTTAAAACACCCCTGTGCCACATATTTATTTATAAACAGATTTAGACATCATGATGCAGCTTACTGGATTCTCAGTGTATATACAACAGAGGCTAACAAATCCGCAATATGATTTCACTTATCTTTTCCCAATAAAATTTCTTGAATCAAATGGGCTGTTACGAATAGGCAAACCAGGCAAGTAGAGCAAAAGGCAGATTACACATTGGAACAAATGTAGATGGAAGCTTTTCAAATATGGAAAGACAACAGCTTGAAAAACATTCATGTTTCAAAATAAACTTTTATATGCAAAAATCGATATGCATATATTTATATAAACATACATAAGCATGTCAATAAACAAACTACACTTAGGACGAATACTACTTCCAAAGACAGTATGGCATTTTAGACTGTTCATTAACATCGTACTAGCATTCCCAATACAAGAGTCAATTTCATTTCCAAAAGCAAGGTCACATCAGTAACATTTAAATATATATTTGAAATTCTAAACAAACCCTTTTCTAAAGAAAGCATCTCCAAACGATTTCTATTGGTAAGAAGCAGTGAGACTGGTTACTTTAAAATTCTTAAATACACTGGATTTTTTTGTGTGAGAAAAACAGATGCCTTCTCTGAAACTGTACATATGTGAGAGAAGGAAAAAGAAGTTTTTAGCAAATCAGTTTACTGAGAAGTGGGATTAGGGTGCGGTTTTTGTTGAAAAGTTCACTTGTTTTTTAGTAAGTTCAGCGTAGAACTTCTGTAAGTTCAAGATGTGAGTGAGGACACTCATCTGCTCTTCTGAAAAAGAGTCAGCTGTTACTGAAGAGTTACTGGTTATTTCAGGCATTCTCTTAAAGAAAAATATGAAAAGAACTTTAGCTTAGAAATATCTATGTCCTTGACAAAACCCCTTGAGAACAAGAGCAGAACTGCAAGTCTGAGGAATTCTGCATTGTCATTGTCTCTTTGCATTCACTCTTCAATATCTAACTGGAAAAAAGTACTGAACACTTGTGCCAGTCAGAGAAAATTTGTTAGCAGTAGCAACGAGAATCCCAAACAGGATCTCTTTTGGGGTGTAACCACACTCAATTCACATATCTGCTACTCTATGCTGATATGGATCACCTAAACTGCAGGTGTGTCTCTTTCAATTGCCTGTTTTCTTGAAAGCGTTTTGAGGTGTAATTCATTATTTATTTGGAAAAATCAAGAACTGGGCAATGAATTATTTGTTAGGTACTGGAATTCTTTCTGTGGGAAAGGAAGCAATGGAAAGCCACGTCATTCATTTTTGTAACCAGTCTGTCACAATCAATATCTAAAATTTTCTATCAGGATCCAGCGATGAAGTTTTGCTTGACTAGTGCAATCCAGAGTGATTTACTGGCTTTTCTGGAAGCAATGTAATTCCAAAACCAGGAAACTGAGGTTCTACTTCCCAACAATATTTGTATTTGCAATGTGCATAAAAGATCTGACTGCAGCATATACAAACACAGGAATTTCAATCTGGCTTGTGAAGGATCCTGCAACAATATTCCAAGCTGCATAAATTTCCAGCCCTATTTAGGTTAAGTTTCTGGAAACTACATAGTCTACACCAAATCCCATTTCTACTTTTTCCCCACAGCTGTTTACAGCTATTGCAGTGAAGATGTAAGTCTAAGGTGACTTTGTTGAAAATGGATTTTGACAGTTTTTCTTGTATTAAGAAAACAGATTGTCTGGACTTGTTGGAGATATCTGTACAGGTGCTGGAAACACAGACTCCCCCGTCTTTTAGCAAGCATGCATCAGATCAGACTGGATTGGGATGTGCTTATAATAAAATGATGCTCAGGCTGAAAAAAAATGAGCGACACTCCTGGAAGTAAAACTATCACTTCTTAAGCTAGGACAAGCACTATACTGGCAGAAAGAGAGAGTGGCTCAGCGAAAAAGCTGGAACAAGGCGAAAAGAGAAAAGAAAGAACAGAAACCAAGTAGGTTTCTATTCTCCTCTGTGGACGAAGTTAAGCAATTAGGAACTTAAATAGAAAATATAAAATGTAAATGAGAAAGTGACTCTTCAATACAGAACACAGCTTTGCTGCTAAAACCTGCAGATGGAGAGAAAAGTTTCAGGACAGCGCTACGATGCGTGAACAAATCAATACCTGAAGGATTTTCTTATACGATAAATTCAAATCCCTCACTTAGGCTTTTAAAATTGTAGTTATTTTATTGAAATCAGAAAGGGTTTATGGGATATATATTATTTCTTAGCTATTTTAAACAGCATTTTCTGTTTATTAGTAGGAAAAAAATCAAATGTGTGGCTTTGATCAATACAGGTTTTTAGAGTTTGGTTTCGTATTTCATTACCGAAGTTTCATTACTAAAGTCTTTTGGCCCAAGGTTCCTCTTTAACCTTGCCTATTCAAAAATTCTAAGTCTTATAAAACTGATTTCTAGAGGCTCTACCCAAAAAGATATTTTTATTATAACTACTCATCAACAGACTGACTAGTAATACTTCTGTTCGCTGCAGAAGATAATGCCAACTAGCTGATTAGCAGTTACTTCTGCATGATAAATCCTCTTTTTCCTCTTTGTGATAAATTCTAGTAATCCATCGTATGGCTATGAGAAATTAGCTTCTAATTTCCTTTGGAAACAATAGTCCAAACAGCCAAATGGCAAGGGAACTTATTAGCAATTTTATTGTGTTCCTAACACCTAATAATAAGTCACCATCGATATCCAGCTAACTCTTAGATTTGGCCTAAGAGTGCAATATTATGACAACCTACTCAAAACAGAGCTTCTGAAAGCCCTCAAACTGATATTATCCTAGTATTATCTATTGTGGTTGACTATCCAAAAAATGAAAATGGGCGCAAATGGACAAGAGAATTACAGGGCAGAAGAAAGATGGAAAGCAGTCTGCCTCTGCCACATGACCATTTCCTAGTAGTTTTCTAAAAAGAAGCAGAGGGTTTGAATTTCCAACACAACTACCAAAAATTGTTATTTGAAAGAAGTGCAGGAATACTAACACTCCAAACTGATTTGCTACAGAAAGATGCTTGCTTCTACTCTCCAAAATAAGAGATTCTGCTGAACAAACCCAATGGATTAGGTCATTTCATGATCAAGTAGGCACAGGCAGTGTGCCTGCTTCCAGTTCTCTGGAAGACAGCTAGCAGCCTAATTAGCCCCCTCAATTATTTCACTGTGAGTTTTTTGTTTTGACTCTTCATTGACTATGCCCAGTGAATAACATGCATACATATATGTTTGAATTTTGTGCCACTATCTGTAAATTTAGCTTTATTTTAAAAATATTATCCTTGTAATACTAATAACTATTATATAGCCTAGTTTTCTCCCACCTATGTATTTGTCTTCTTGATTAAGGATGTCCCAGCTAGAAACCAGTTCACTAACCATTCATCTCAGTTTCGTGCCAGTTAAATTAATAAAAATCAAACAACAAAACTCAGCAAACAGGTGCAAGGTAAATCTTAAAGCAAGCTCAGTTGCCCGTGAATCATTTCCGAACTTGAAGATGTCTACTCACATCAAAATACACATTAAATAAGTAAATATCACAACAGATATCCAAATACTCTTGAAAGGTAAGCATTCTAATTCATGGACCACTAGTACAGAGTTAAACTTGCAAGCTCATTTTCCTTTCTGTAACTGGCTAACTGACCTCTGAATTATGCATCGTATTTCTCTACCAGTTCTTTAATGACAGATGAGAAACATATGTAAGATAACTGAACAAGATTAACAGTGTCTAAAATACAAATTTCTCCCCATTTAGAAAAGCTTCTCTCTCTTCAGTCAACTTCATAACATACTGTCAGATTCACACTCTATAGGCAAGTTTTCTGCTAGCTTTATGGTAAAGAGAAATTTATTTCCTGCTTACCTCGTTATTGAAGGAATTCTCTTCAATTTTCTCAGTTTCTGCCTCTGCCAGAGGGTTTTTCAGGGTCTGCAAGAACAGTGCAGCTTTCCTTTTGCGCTCTGCTTGTAGCTGCTTTTCTTTTGATTCTTTGGAGGCCTGTGCAAGCTTCTCTCTTGCTGCAGCTGCTAATCTATCCTCTAGTTTCTGCTTTGCTAAGAAAGACAGTTAAGCATAGAGTGAGTCACGCTTGGGGAACTTAGGTTTCCTTGAAACAAACACACACACCCCAACACAAACAACCGAATAGCCCTTCCAACCATTTTCAAACCTAATACATAATAAGGACGTATCAGCTTGAAATTATGAAATTCCAAGCATCTTAATTCATAGATATATCATTTGCTTGATGAAAAGCAGTACAGGTGTAGTAAAAATTTCTATTTACAAAAGCTATCTAAAAAAGTAGCACTGTAAATTCAGAAGCTTCTTCTGGTACTTACTAAAGCGATGCAAACTCTCCATTTTTCTCTTTCCACAGATCTGATCTTTACATTTTCCAGCCCTATTTACATACATCTTAAAAAGGGCTGCTCCAGAAATTTTCAGAAACTGTTTCACCATTGTTACAACCGTTATTGTTACGTGATTACAGAAAGAGAATAAGCCCATTTATTTAACTATGCACCTAATGGATATTTTGTCTAATCTTTTTCATCTTACACTTCCACTTTTGTGTTCTGTGCATGTACAAGACAACTGGTTTTTTGTTCAATTGCACAGTTTTTCCAACACACAACTTTTTCCAAACATGTTTTACTTCATTTTTTTAATCATACAAAATATTTCATATTTGCTTTAGATATGTATCACCATAGCATACTTTGTGCTACTAAAGTTTGCAAAGGAACTGCTATTTAGGAGCAAAAAAAACATTCTGAAAATGAAAAATTAAATTCCTGTGGCATACTCATAGTTGTAAGAGAAATATTAAGTTTTCAAACTGGTAAACACTGACAGCATCTCCACTTTATTAAACACTCTCTGCTGTGAAACAGCCTTAGGGAGGAATGGGGGAAATTTGATCCCTTTAAAAGATCATTTCATTCAAATTCACACAGCATACCCTTCTGCCCTTACATACATAAACACAGTAACAAGAAAAACCCATTCAAAGACTTAACGGCATTGCATTATAAGAGTAATGAAACATCAGCAAGGTGGTATTAGTCTACATGGGAATGCTATATAACTGAAAAATAGCTTGAAGCATTTCATTGTTCTCTGAAGAAAATGAGAAACGGACATGCCTTTTTCTGGGCTCTGTTAATGCAATCTGGAAACCAGAAGTTTAGTGTTTTACTTGGAGGTTGTCATGGAAAAACAAAATAAAATTCAGAAAGATCATGCATTACAGCAAAGTACTCAACTCCAGTGTGTTACAAGTTTGATTTCAGCTGAGCAACCAATGAAGATTTTATTCTTAACAATAAGCAGGAAACTGTGGGAAAAGAATTCCAATTCCTGTTAACATGACATAGCAAAGATTCAAAATACCTAAAATGCCATACTTATTCACATGACAGTTTTGTAGTTTGCCTGAAGGACTCAATCTTTCATTTTGCTTTCAGTGTAACATGGGATACCTTGTTTAGCTTCTAACTCCTCCTGTGTAAGTTGAGGTTTTTTCTCTTCAGCAGCAGTACAAGGAGTGGTAACAGCTGGAGTATGGTTTGAAGCACTATTAGCATTCTCTTGGCCTTCCTTGCCCTCTTCTTCCTCCTCATCACTGTCATCATCTAATTTAACACGGTTTTTCTCCAAAGGAAGAAGGTCATTTTCTTTGGCCTTGATTGCAAAGCTTATTGGAGCAAATGATGCTGTGAATGAATGGTATTTTGCACATTTTTAGACTACAGTAGAAAGCAGGTTGAATTTCTTGACTTTATCCATTACTCATGCAGACTACACCACAAAAAAAAAGAAACTTGTATCATCCTTACATTATGCTAATTATTTTGGGGAAAAGGACAACACAACCTTTTTTCTTCCTTTTGTCTCAAAGTCTTTTTCTAATACTTCAGTAGCAGCAGGGAAAAAGAAAGGCAGGAATTACATTTCCTGAGATAAGATAAATAATTTCATATTCTGTCCCAAATAAATTTTAGTTTCAGTACTACTTCTTTTCCCAAATGAACAATCTACTTTTCCACTCTTCCAGGCTTAAGATGAAAATGCTCTGTGCTCAGGCTCCTATCTGACACACTACAGTATGATGTGGTCCCTTATGTTTCCTTCACCCTAAATCAATCGTTTGCACAACAATAGCATTTGGCAGACTCATAGAAGAGTATTTAAAGACTTATTACCATCTATATGAAAATTAATTACTTTGGGGAGTTAACAACATTTCATTTCAGGAGATACAAACACAAAAGCTAAGTACTTTTCCCCAAACGTCTTAGCTAGTCTTGCTGTAGTAAGATTGGTGGTCAACCATTCCTTTCAAGCAGCCCCTACTTGACACACAAGGACAGCACAACACACTCATGCCAGCACACTCAAAGGAAAACGAATGCCTGTAAAAAACATGGAATACCACAATAAAAAGGAAATTGTGGATCATTTCAAGCTATGTTGTATTAATGGATCTTCAAAAAATATTAAGCATAGCTAATATATAACTATATTTAAGTCTGAACTAATCCTTTTGCTTCACAGAATTTTCCTTGCAAGGTTTTTTTGAGAACCATTTTCTGAAAAAAATACAGAATTAATCTCTAAACCATTTATCCAAAATGCAACTTCTAAGAATAAAGAATGGAATTTCTCACACATCTCAAGCAAAGCAACCTAGTACCGTATGGTCTGCTGCAATATTTATCTTTCTCAGGATGCCTTTTGTGTATATATCCTGTAAGATTTCAATTAGGGAAATTTAAATACAATAATTAAATTACATACCAAGGTTTATAAAATATAAGCTTTGCATCTTGTAATTCTGGGGTAAGGAAATAGGCTCAGAAACAAAGAACTCAAGAATTCCAAGAGAAGAGATATTATAATAGTGATTTTCCAACTTTTTCATATGACAAAACAAATTCTAAAATGGGATTTTACTCCCTCAGAGGCAGAAGAAAAATCTAGTGCGAATGTTGTATCTGTATTGCAGCCAAGTACTGTATTTAGGTTACAAGAAAGTGGGATTTGTACCATATTAGAGGAAATGAAAGTAAGTTTATAGGAATACGGTTGTCATGAAATGACTCATTAGTTACATTCCATCATCTAAATTTGAGCAGATTATTAAAGCATGGGCTCCAATTTGCCATTTATTAATAACACAACAAGAAGAAATGGTATCATTTTCTGTTGTGTATTACGTTCTCTTAATAGGGCATCTTTGAAGACAGGGAAGATTGCCCCTTCCCTGGGGAAGCTACTCAACCTGCCCAGAGAAGAAACTGCGAAGTATCAACAGCCGGACAACCACGGCAAAGAGCTTGGAGCTTGCAGCCCGTGGAGGGAAAGAAATTGCAGTGAGGAGCAGGAAGACAGAAGAATTCCAAGGGACCACAGGGAGTAGATAAACTTATCAGCAATTAAGAAAGCCACTGAAGTGGCAGGAAGGCAGCACCCATCCATGGGAACACAGGTCAGGAGTGTTTTTTCTTGTTTAGTTTCTTTTTCAGTGGTTTTCAGTTCTAGTTAAAAGACTTAAGTTTCTAGTTTTTACTGAAAAGAAGAAATTTTAAGATATCTTTTCCCAATAGGCCAGGAAATCAGTTCCCAGGTATAAATAATCGCTTATCTGACTCAGGACACTAATAGCACGTTAGCTGACTTTGTTTGACTGGCTTCCAAGAGATCCTCCCATTTTGTCCCTCTGCTGCTATGACTGCAAGAGGAAAAACATTCCGTTTAGACATGAAAAGGGTCTTTTTTTCCAGCATGACTAATGTCCAACACAGGAAGACTGAACAACTGAGTAATAAGCCTAGCACGCTTCCTCCATATGTATGGTTTCAAATAAGACTACTGCTTTTACTCAGAAGGAATAACTTCTTTCTTGCACAGAGCTTCTAACTGTCACGTTTAAAATGACAAAAATAAGATTCTACTGGGGTCACTGATTAAAGCCTTCAAATTTTCACAAAGCTGAAATAAAACAATTTATTCTGTCAGACCATAAATACCTGATAGTCTGGTAAGAAAGAAATATGAAAGCACTAAATTTACTTATTTCAGTCCTTTTTTGAAGCTTCCAGTGAAAATATTTTCTTCATGATTAAAAAATTCTTTTCTGTACTTTCCCCCTGCCTCTCCCCCCATCTTTTTTTTTTTTTAAATACAAATATTTTCACGCCCAACAAACCATGGTAACATACCTTTCACCAATTTACCATCACTGACAGTTTTAGAAGGAGGAACATCCTTTTTAGTTCCTGGAACTCCCTTAGCACTTGGCTCAGATGCATCTTCAGGTGCATGTTCATCTGCAAATTGAGTCTCACTTGGTGTATCACCGACAGTATCTGCTGGAACATCTTCAGATGAAGATACTCCCTTTTCAAAAGAAACGTGCAAGCTTACTAACTGAGTAGTTCATGAAAGAATTAATGCAGTGTCTGTGGAGCTGCAATTTTGCCAGCCATTTCAAAAATCACATTATCAGCTAATCACACAACAGCTAATTTTACATCAATAAGCACTCATAACCAAAAGTCTGCTTCTTATAAATAATGCACTGCTTCATGTAAACCCTCAGGCTGCAAAACCTGCAGGCCTATAGTAAGAAAGTGTTGTTATTTTACAGCAAAGAAAATGTTCTTCAGCTGGTACACTTTTGCCAACAACTGTTTTAAAAATTACGTTTTTAAAATTAGACCCTAAAAGCATATACTTTTTCTCCAAAGTATATTTCTTTAGGTCTTGATCTCCAGGGTCCAGGACAAAATCCATTAAAGTTAATTCACAGCGACAGAATGAAAGCTTGACATTTTTTCCTAATGTACAATTGCATGATACCCTCCTTACAAAATCAAGTTTTACAGGGATCAACACAGGTTAACGTGTTTGATTTCTTCCAAGATTTTGCTGAAGAACATTGGGCCTATCAATGTTTTTTGCAGTATTAAATTGATACAGTACAGATGTGCTGAGATTTTCAAAAGAGTAAAGAACTACTGGTTCTACTATTACATGACTGAATCATTTAAGATGACCTCTAAATTCACAGTATAAAAATTCTAAGATGGATATTGTAGAACATTAGAAATATTTACATGGTGAGTCAGGCGATGACATTAAGTAATTTAACATTTAAATGAGCCTCTCTCAATAAATAGTTTGGTTGCTTTCCACTGGCTGCTGTTAAGTATACTTAATGTTGAAATAGCAGGTACTGAAGAGATCCTTTCATTGCTCCCTGCAGCCATTCCCTGACCAACAGAACTAATTTCTGAAAATCCTCGAAGGGGAAAAACACAAGGAAATCAAGGACTTCATCCTGTATTTACTGAAGCCAGTAGTACAATTTCTTATTAACTTTAATGGCCAAAAGGAGAACAATCAATTGCATTAGTTGCCTATACGTACATTACTAAAGCATAAAGATAATATTGAAATCATTATTCTAAAAAATTAAAGAGAATGGCATTATCTACAAAACCATGCAGTAGGAAAATATGCATTGCTACACATGATCTCAAGGGACTTAAACCAGTTTCCGCTTGCTTCTTCGCTGTACTCATTTGAACACTTAAAATTAAGCCTTTATTATTACACTTTGGTTAGTGTACAATTTCCCCCCAAAATAAATGTTAACAAGTCCTTATTAATTATGTAAGTATTAACTCAACCCACTGGTTTGCAAATAAGAAATTCTAGACTAACAGTGAGTATTGTGGTACAGGACAATTCTGCATATAATTTATCAACTGAATAAGATCATATTTACCACAGCTTATCTTTTAAAACAGTGTTTTCAAAACATTTTTCACTACTAAACCAAAATATTAGACACAAGTGTTTCAAACAGCAACTAGGAATTTCTTCATTTTCCACAAAGCGATTTTGAGGAGTTTACCCACAGGCCTACCTTATTCAGTTTAAGGCTCCCCAATCTAAGCCTTGAGATGACAAATGACATAGGGCCTAAAAAAAAAATAGCTCTTTCCCATGAAAAGTTAACATCAGATAATGTATTTCTGATACTATTTGCAATTTTTTTTCAGTAAAAGAATAATCTAATGACATTAGCTAACATGAGAAGAGTTAAAAACAAGGATGCCAAGTCTGGGTATCATCTTCTAATAACATGGACTAGAAGCAGCAAAGCAAGTAGCAAACCGATGTGAGATTTTGAAGCTCCAATACTGTTTCAGTCAATCATGACAGGACTCTTCTTTAACAAAACCTCCCTCAGAAAAAAGCGTGTCAGAAAAGTAGCCCAGCTACTGTGCTACTGTTCTACAAAGAACCAGGAGGCATAGGAGAAGGTATGGTTGTTAAAAAGCTATACCTAATCTTTCTGACAACAGAACACTAATCCCAATCCTACAAAGCCCTAAACCTTCACAAAGCATATATTCTCTTGTATAGAAAGCCAAAAGATTTTCAGGTTGCCATTTTATATTTGTGGTGGGTTGACCTTGGCTGGATGCCAGGTGCCACCAAGCTGCTCTATCACTCCCCTCCTCAGCGTGGCAGGGGGAGAAGGTAAGATGGAAATAAAAACAAACCAAAAAAGATAAAGGGTCAAGATAAAGGAAGTTTAATAAAGCAAAAGCAACGGCCGCGTGCGGAAGCAAAGGAAAATGAAAGATTTATTCTCTACTTCCCATCAGGCGATATCCAGCCACTTCCTGGGAAACAGGCTTCAGTATGTGTAGCGGTTGCTCCAGAAGACAAATGTCGTAAATAAGAATGCCCTCAACTCTCCTCCTTTCTCTTAGCTTTTATTGCTGAGCGGACGTCATATGGTATGCAATATCCTTTTGGTCGCTTTGGGTCAGCTGTCCCGGCTATGTCCCCTCCCAAGATCTTGCCCACCCCCAGCCTACTGGTGAGGGGGAATGTTGGAGAGACAACCTTGATGCTGTGGGAGCACTGCTCAGCAGTAGCCAAAACACTGGTGTGTTACCAACCTTTCTAGCTACCAATACAAAAAGCACAGCACTATGAGGGCTGCTTTGGGGAAAATTAACTCCATCTCAGCTAGACCCAACACAGTATTACAACCACACTGAGTGGCTGCTTATACTAAAAAGCAAGAACTAAATATCACACTACGTCACATATCCTTATTTAAATGCTATACAAAACTAAAAAGCAACAACAAAAAAAAAAGGCATTCACATCCTTTGCTGAACAATTTCTCCATAATGCAGTGTTCCATTTTTAAAACATCTCATGGTAACACAACAGATAAGCAAGTCCTTTTCTCACTTACACTGCATTTTTAATATACGTATATACAAACACACATGTACCTGACAGTTGTCACTGCTCTCTTTTTGAAGGAAGAACTGTTTTTTAAATTCATAATATGCATTATACTGGTGCCATGGCTGCAGGAACTCAAACCTGTTAAAAGAAAACTTAATATGTGAAAATGCACATGAACATAGTAAATACCAATAATCCTTTGCCATCTAATTTTGTCTAGCAAATGGAATGCTACTTGATGTTTGGAAGCACTGTAACCTATGCGTAAAGTTCCAGAGGATACACATTCAGAGCAAACTTTCTAGAGATGTTTTTGTTAGGCTGGTTGTTCTGAGGATTTGGTCAATAATGCTTTGGCATTACCTTTAAGTAGGTCCCTGAATTTCAATTAAAAAAACATGATAGTACTTCTCTTCTTGAGACCCGCACATCCTGGTAATATATTTGAAAATGAAAACCTCAACTTTTAAAATATGTTTTCTCTTACCTGAGATCATTCTTGGCACGCACACTGGTTTCAAATTTTATCCCATTCCTAGCAACATACTCAGCTAGCTTATCAATAACAGGTTGGATATCTGGGGGTGGAGGTATAATGGCAACCACTGGAGCAATTGTGCTGAAAACATCAAAAGTACATCATTTTTATTAACAGAACATAAATATCCTTCAGACTCTTGCTTCAAAAAAAAACATTACACAGAGGTTTGCTCTCTGGGTTCATTATGCCATTAAAATAACTTGATTTTCCATCACGCAAAAACTTCATAGTAGCTGAGTAACAATAACCACGTACAATATCAAAGACCAAAGTGGAGGTAATCAAAGCTGTATAAACAGGTGAATGTTACTAAGGAATGACCAATAATAGAACCCTTACTAAATACTTCATACTGAAGTGCAGGAAAGAGACCCCTCCAACAACATGCAAATCTATACGTGGTACCTTGTAGATGTTGTCGTAGAAGTCAACCCACTGCTGCTATCGGTTGTGTCTGGGGGAGGTGGAGGTGTAGTACCAGGGGGTGGGGGTACTGTTGCTACCCCTGTAGTGCTCGATACAGTCACCCCTGCAGGCAACGCATTGTAGTAGGTGGCAACATCTATTCCTGGAGGTGGAGGTGCGAGGCAATAGGTTCCATCAGGTAGCATATAGTAACTATAATACATGGCTGCCACAGTTGCTATAAAAAGACATATTAAAGAACAATGTTCTAATTAGAAGAAAAACACCCAATAAAAAAAACACTACTGCATCAGTACAAACACATTGAGAATCCAGATTCACACAACATACTAAGAAATGGTATCTAATTTCTTGTGTAAAAAAAAAAACAAAGGAAAAAAAAGAATGCTCATATTAACGCACTTAGGATGAATAAGAAATATGTAGATTAAGGGACAGAATCAGAACGCACTGAAGGTCAGCTGGAAGCCAAATAGGTATGAATAAAGTAGTGAACCAGAGAAGGCCTATTAAAAAATGACCTAATATGAAATCATTCTTCCTAATCTAATTCACCTCTGGCAGTTTAACTCAGTTAAAACTATGTATGCATTAAGAAAGAAATGCACATGTATTAAAAACTAATATCGAGAAATTAAACCACTAGTATCACTATATATATATATAAAACCACTATATCGTCATATATAGACACACACCTACTTACTGAAACCTCAAAAAGTAAACAGGTTTTGCAATTTAACACCAATACAATGAACAACCAATTTGAGCAAGTTTTCCACACTAAAGGCTTCTCCGATTCTAAATATTTATTTCTTGAGAATGCAAAGGCTTATGGCTTGCTTGCTTTCTTTATGGACAGTATTTTATAATGCTTTAATTAGCTTAACACTTTTGAATGGCAATTACTTCTTGTAAATCTAAAGATTTTCTGCAGAAAGACGTATAAACAAAGTATTCAGGTAAAATATTTCAAAGGATTTAGAGTAAGAGTTTACATTTCTGGAGGCAAAGTTTAATCAATGCATTAAATTATAATGAATTATCCTCTTAAAAGTTTCATAAGCATTCCTGTGTGGCAGTATTTACTTTCTTCAAAGACTATATTATCTATAAGGAGAGCAGAATAAAGATCTGTTAAGTTTTAAAGGCAGGAAGAGTAGTTGCAAACTTAACTTGTATTGCTACTAAATTATAATCTCCCAGTTTGCATCATTCAAGCCTGAAATGAAAGTAATCAGAAAACTGACGAGCATTATTCTACGGAGATATTTATTCTGATTTTAGTCTTTCTTGAAACAACCAGTAATTTTCAATTTCTCTGAAATCTTATTTCAATTCTATTAAGATTCTCTTTAGGTACAGTTTTAAATAAAAATTACTTCCATGCATATTCCTCTCCATATATTACATTCTGACAACATCTGTAATCCTTCGGTGGGTTCTGAACCTATAATGCATCTAAATCAACTCAGATCATTACGGTGATACTTATTCGCAACAACTTTACTAAAAAACCCAAGAACTCCATCACCACCACCACCTTGAAGTAACACTACTCATTACCTACAGGTTTATAATACCATGAAACCCTACTGTAGTGAAGGCTGCAATATAAATTTTCTTGTATCTCAGTAGTGTCAAATGGTAAATCCCATAAATGAAAGAGTAAGTTTCATTTCTATATTCAAGGAATCTCTTTCAGAATTCTGAAATTTGAAAAGAATTAGAGGCACATAAACCCAATTAAGTTTGACTTCACCTTTTTGAGTATCAGAATTTACAAAATTTGCAGGAGCTTTATACAAGGCCTGCATTAAGCAGCTTCAAAGATAATGGAAACCAGACACATCTAGAGAAGTTAAGATAATGTTGCCAAAAATTTCATAGTAAACTTGATTCTTAAAAGCGATTACAGACAGCACAGTATTTACATTTATCTGAAATGGCTCAAGAAAAATCTAAGATTAAAGATTTAACAATAATTTGGAGATAGGAGACAGTCTTGGTATTTCAAGATCAGGCACAGAAAAAGCAGTTGAACACACAACTTTCCACACTGCCGCTTATAATTTAAATCTATCACTGCTTTTGTTGTTCTTTTCAGAAAAAAATAAAATAGAATATCTACTCCTTTATTAAAGAATGCCCTCTGTAGCTATGGAACTTAAAAGTTAGTACTCCCTCTCAGACATTGTAATGAGAAATACAATTTAAAAGATCAATTCTTAACTTCAAATCTTGCATATTCCTGAATTTTATTTTCTACATATAACATTGCACCAGTGCACAGAATAAAAGGGAAAATAATGAAAAATTATGGAATTGACTGTGTAATAAAAGACTGATTTATTTACCATAAAACTACTTCCAACTTTAGAACAGAGTATTATACTAAAACCTGGTTTTATCATTTCGGTGGGATCCTTCAATTTACATGATTTTACCTTTGCAGATTTTTTTTAGTGTGAAACACTCCAGCAAAACTGTTCAAAGTAGATTTACCATCTGCATTTTGCTTAATATGCTAAGCTTTTTTTAATGGGAATCTCATTAATTACTTTATAGGACAGTTTTATATTCAACAGTGAAGGCATTCATTAGGCTTCATTAATAGAAACTGATGGAAGTTACCAAAAAACATTAAGGGTATTGTGCTAACCATACTCACACACTGGAGACTTGGCCTCCCGCCTGCCCACCCCCTCCACCCCATTTCTGTTATTCCCAAGCAGCTAACAATTCGACAGATACTCAGTGGAAGAATGCACCTTCAAATGTTCAGGAGGTTGAAAAAGAATAAATATCAGTTACAAATGATCAAGTATGAAGCTAACGTATTTTCTTCCCACCAGCATCCACATACAATTCATCAAGACACACCACCAGCTGCCTAATCACAATGCACTTACAATCAGAAGAATATTCTGCTTGTGATGTCTGTACAGCTGCCCCATCTGTTGACTGTGGTGTAGATGAGTTATTATCCGATTGCGCTTTGCGCACCAGTGCTGCAAGTGGATGATCAGGGTCTACTACCTTCAAAGGCTGAAAAAAATTTGAGAATAGAAAAAAAAGATTAAAATTTCAAGTACGCATTTAAAGCATGATAGCATCAACCTAATCTGGAAAGCAAATTTATCTAAGTTAATGGACATCAATAACATTGTCCAAACATTGAAGTTACTGTTTTTGTAGCTCTCACATCAGAATCAACTTCTTCTTTGAAAATTAGTGGAAAACAAAACAAAACAAAAAAATACTTTAATGTGAACAGAAATCCATATAAAAAAAAAAGCGGATATTACTCTTACTCGTTTACTGCCAAGTCTGGGATAAGACACAGACTTGTCTAAATATCAGGCAGCACCAGTGCCGTTCCTCTGAAAGCCTCAAATGTGTACAACCATCTGTCATTCCCACTATTCCATCACTGATCAAACTCAAAAAATAAAAATAACTAACACATCCAGCAAAATTTATATTTAGTGAGTAGCACATTCTGCTGAAATATTATTCGCTGAAACTATTACTTCATGTCAACATTTTATCTACTAAAATCTAAAACCAAAACGTTCTCTCTCAGCTTTTATACAGAAAGCATTAAATATCTTAATCTTTTCAGCTTCAACACAGGTTCTGTGGGATAAATCCTTAAGTGATGCCCTCAATACCAGAGGACATAAAAATAGAAATATAATTCCTCACAAATGAAAAAATAACAATTTATGTACTAGAAAAAAGGTAACTTGAAAGTTTACCAAAACAGACTTAAATGATTAAGACACAGTCTGGGGAAATTAAAAAAAAAAATCTTTGCTAACGGAAGATCCTAACACCTGCATATTAGAATTTTTGCGCCCATGAATCAGATGTTTTACAAGGTAGAAAGTAATTTAATAAAGTCAAGTACCTTCATGAGCTCTTCAAGCCTACTGCATTTTTTAGATGCAAAGAGACTCGGATGCAGATAATTTCCATCATCATCGTCGTCGTCATCGTCTTCTTCCTCAGATTTGACTCTCGAGTCTAAATAAAAGCAATGTCTGAATTTTATTTGGGTTTGCTATGGATTTGTATTGGGAGAGAAAGATGGTACAAGACAAGCATGCGTTCTTAAGAAACAACTCTTTTCATAAATCTGCTTATTCACAAAAACATAGATACAAGAACATATTGCTAGCCATCAATAAAACTAAAATGTAAGTGCACAGACCAACTTTCTGTTGGGACCAGAGCTATACAAGTGTTTCTAAAAGCTTCAAGACCATAGCAGCTCTTGTATCTGAAAGTTTCCCAAAACAATCTTTTCTTTTAAAAATCTCCAATTTAAGCAAAATTTTGAATCACCACATCAGTCTCAGCTGCAGGATAACAGCATCACCATTGCAACGCACCAAAAAGATGTGGCTGTTCTACCAAAAAAGACTGGTGGATGTTTCAATGATTCACATCCTGAAGCTACCCATTTGACAAGCAACAACTTACGTTTTTTCTCGTCTGCTTTATTTTCAGAAGGAGCAGCGTATCGTCCCTCTTTCATTGCCTTCTGAATGAATTTGTAGTAGGGATTGAGGTAGTGATCAAATCGCAAGAAGTCAAACTGGGAGTTGCGTGCTTGCTTGGCTTTTAGCATAATCTCAAACTGTGCTCCCTGCTTGCAGACAAAGTTTGCAGTTCGTTCTATAATCGCATGCATTTTTGCTGTTGGTGGCTGCGGGAGTAAAATAACATATATTTGTATTTTCATAAGCAGCTTGTAAAGTTTGTTAGAACTCCAAAGGGAATTAGAAAGAGCAGTAGTCCCCTGCCCCTCTTCCCAGCTTTCTCTAGCAATTCAGTTTCATAATCACTTTCAACTAGTGAAAGCATATCAGCACTGAAAAAAAACAACAGTCCCAGTCTTCCCTAGCTGCTCATTCATATCCTTTTGCAAGATCCTCTCCTCTTACCAGCAAAACTATTTTTGCCACTGCACACCAAACTGAAGAGGGGAACAAATCCTGGTTGAGTTTGATGCAGCAAAAAAATTCTTTTAAGCCCCCTTCTGCTGGCACAAGATGGGAGACAGATGTGTTTGTTGACACAGCAGTGCCAACTTAAAGTGGCCCTACCTTACAATACCTCAAGGTGCTCTGAAGACTCAACATGTATGGTCTTCTTCCCAACAGCTGTCCTTGTGATAACTCTGTTATCTGATAACAGATAACTCTATTATCACTGAATGTGCAAATATTGTTCCCTAACTAGAAAAGCTTGTTACTACGCATTTGCTTGGAAGGAACACGTTGCATCTTAAGACCAACATAAGAATTGCAATTCCTATGTGCTGTCATATTCCCATAAAGAGTCATTGAACACTTTAGCAATAAAAGAAAAAAAGAAAATTAATGAAGTTAAGCAGCACCCATGCATTTCCACTTCTGAAATTCCACCTAAAGAGCACTGCCATATCAAACACAAGAACTGAGAAGAACAAGAATATAGTTAAAGAATGAATGAACTTCACCTTTCACTGTCTTTGATTTCATACTCAGATAGCTCTGTTTTGTCTTGTGCTCAACACACTGTAGAAACACATACTGTGTGTGCCCATAAAGATTGAAGTGTCACATTAATGATTCGTTTTAGCTTTGCATTTTTATTGGTCCAGATACAGAAGTATGTTGCAAACCTCAGAAAATCTTTTTCAGAAGATTGGAAGCACACGAGACAGTGCTGCTCTATTCAGGGGGAAAAAAGTCTGAATGCGATCAAACAGCACATTTTTAGAAACTATTTTCAGCCGATTAGGTCTTTTACTAGAACAACATGTTCAACATGGAAAATAATTAGTTGTTCAAGTTTTACTTGTCCCTCTAAAACATTAGCAAAGATTATTTTAATTAGAGGCCATGAAGTTCTCAACAAACGGATAACATTTTGCACATAGCCAGTTTCACTATTTAGTCATACATCAAATTTCTCTATTTCTGCGGTTCTTATGCAGAAATACAAAATACACTTAAAGCCGAGAGATTCATAAAAAAAGCTGCAAATCAGCAAGGAAGCTCAAAAAAGATTGTATCTGAAATTACTATCTGGTCTTGAATTTGAAACTGATACGCTATAAGCTCTGGAAAATAGGCACTATGAATATTAATATGCTTTTAATTGACTTCTAAGACTACTAACACCACTGATCCAGAAAACTTTAGAAACTTTACAAAGTGAAAAACATTAAATGGCATACAGAGATGCAGATATCATAGACATATTCTAGTTTGCTATTACATTTAATAAAAACACTAAACATTTAAACTGAAACGAACTGTTAAAACTTCTGGAAGTAAGAGTACTTGCCAGAGCAGAGAAAAAACCCTTCTGAAAAATACTCCAATGACCTAAGTGCTATCATCTAGTCAGATATTTTGTTCCAATCTTTAGTTAGTATTGTAATTAAAAGTTTTTCATGAGTGAGTCTCCCTTACTGCAAGTTAAGCAACTATCCTCCAGTCATCAGTAAGCCTGAAAAGTCTATGTTGCCTCTCGATATTCTCATCTGGAAAAAACAAAGCAATTTTCAATCTCTCCTCGTAAGTTTAACTGATAATATCCTCTTATGGCCCACTTCCATAGCATATGCACACTTCTTAAAATGCAATGGTCAAGAACAGTCATCTTTGCCCATAACCCTGGCATCAACAGTTTTAAGCAGTGCAAGACCTCCTGCATCCTCGACACAACTCTTCTATTTTAAGTTCCAGAATGACATTACTGCTGCAGTTGAAGTTGCCATATGCTGAACATTCAACAGCTCACTACAGCCTCTGGGCCTTTTTTTGCAGTAGTGCTGCCTAACTACTCAGTCTTCATTTGACAATGGCACTTTGGATTGTTTTGTATTATAGAAACTATTTTGTGTCTGTCTTTATTGAACTGCACTTTGCAGACTGTGAACAAAGTCTCCAAGCTAGCAAGCTGATTCTCAAATTCTATCTTATTTGCAAGCACTACAGTTTCCTCCCCAAAATGATTCAAAGTCTACAAGTGTCCTCCCCCCTCCATGATCACCACCAAGTGCCATGTCTTTTAACTTGAATGTTAATTAGCAGTAAATTCAGGAGAGACCTAGAACACTACTCTGTCATTTCCACAAATCAGCCATGTATCTGTAGACCTTTTCCAATCACTTGTGGATCGACATAATGGCAATGGAATTTATGATGTACTTCTCTCTCTCTCCCTCCTTTTTTTAAATGGAACAGGGTAGAGTGAGAAGTATTTTTTAAACATGCCTGTAAAACTCCACCAATAATTTACCAGACTTCTATCCTTCACAGTAATTGAATTAAAAAATACAGAATAAATACATTCAATGGTAAAACTGAATGACTTGACTAGAACAACAACAAATCAAGGCTTACAAAAAAAAATTCTCACAATTCCCAATCCAAGGTCAAGTATACATTGTTTACAGAGCTGCTGTCTAGACATTTTGGTTTGTTTGGTTTTTTTAAATCAGAAACAAGTATGAGCACATTTGCTTTCTGTTCATTTGAATATACTAGAGTTCAATAGCCGACTGAGAAATTATTTCAGTAAGCCCCACACTGCATTCTGCAACTTACACGTAAAATATATCTTAAGTTTCAGAACAAAATTCAAGCAAAGCAGCTATCTGAAACAGCAAACATTCTTTCATCAGCAGTTACTTTGTGGAAACAGCATCCAAATGCTAAATAAGCAGCTTCTCACTGAGAACTCAACATTCTTATTCTAAGACTAAAGTATAACTCATAATTTAAAGGCAATAACATATAAAAATTTTTCCTGAACTCAGAAGTACGTTTGTAAGCACTTCACCAACAAAATGTATTATAAGATTGTAAAGAAAAGTAGAAAAAGTAAAATTAGAACAAGTAAAGTTGCACATTAGATTTGTTAAATAGCTCTTATTTCATACAAAAAACAGAACAGGACAAAAATTTTCAATTAAAAGCTAATGGAGTAGAAAAACACTCTTACAACAAATATCCTATGTTCACTATTAGTTATTCTAACAGAGTGCTTTGAATCTTTACTGGCCAAGATTATCAACTTGAGAAGGCAGCCCAAATATAAATTAACACTTTCATGACCACAGGATAGGAGAAAGAATATTATCTGGCTTCCCAGTATCTTTTATTAAACTTGAAATAAATTGAAAATCCTCATGATTACAAGAGTACTCAAGCAGGCAACTGTTCAGCTCTCTTCAGGAAAAAACACAAGTTGCAATTAAGTTTACAGTTTAGTTTTTATGTAGCAAATTTGGTAACATCACAGGAAGGAAAGAGCTTCTATATGCTAATACTTTCAAGTTATTTCAGAATTTGCTAGAAATAAACTATTGCTTTTCTCTTTGAATAGGCTAGTCTTAAACACAGCCTTTATATTTGATCACTTCCTACCCCCTTCAGATTGGGACTCAATTAAAAAGAATCCAGAAAAAAATCTTGAACAGAAGCAATCTTTTGGTTTAATGGTCCTTTACATTGGGAATGTCAACCTTGACATCTCAGTAAGTATCCATTTCAAGAACTGCCTTTTTTCTGCATTATCTAAAATAGTATCACAAGCGATACTAAATGCACTTAGCATAAGCACTGCAATAATTTCAGTGTGAAAAAGAAGATTCAAGAGAGTTGATAGCAACTCAAGAATTCAAGAAAGAACATTTGAAATTAAGCTACTATTTTAGAATCATTTAAGATGTACCACACTGAAGTTAATGGAAAAAAAAACACAACAGTAAAGCACCATAAACTCCTCGAAAATTGACAGAAGCGTAGGTTGTGTTAAATGTACACACATACCAGTTCCACGTCAGAAGGTACATTCAGTCCCGGAGGGGCAACAAAAGGTTCTTCATTTTCTTCTACATTTTCTGTCTGAGCTGTTTCTACAAGAAATGACAGAATAAAATACCATAGGACAAAACATGCCAAAGTACTCACATGTTAACAAAAAATTATTAAAATAAAGTATATCTAAACGCACGTGCAGTCAAGGAATTTATCAAATGAAACTATAACCAGCATTTGCACTGAAGACATTTAAATACGGTTCCTCTCCCTGGTGTTACATGTAGTTTATTTAAGATTGCATAAATTATGTCTTAATAGAGGTATTAGGAAGAATAAAACCCTATAAACCTTAGCCCTGACTACAGTGCTGAAGACAAACAAGTGTCAAATCAAATAGAAAACATTATTTTTCGTGAATATTACTTTTTGTTTTTACAAGAAAACCCATGCAAAATTAAGGGGGACCATTTTCACTGCACTGGGTGAATCCTTTCCTGACAATGATTAAAATATTACAGATATCAGATACCTCTAAAGCTGTTAAGACCCATACATCTGGTCTATCTGAATTCAGTTCCCTGTTAATCAACCATTTCAGCCTATCCAAACAAATCTAAGTACTTTCATCAGCTTCCTAACCCTAATGAAAGTTGTTCAGGAATGCAATAGGGAGGCTAAAATCCACTTTCATCACCCACAGAGATAAACCAGTAGTTGCCTTAATAATTGATTAAAATAAATGTTGCCATTCATCTGTGAGTTCAGCCTAAAGTTGGTATGGTTCCTTTTATATCAAGTTTAAAATATCTAAATATTTAACAGATTTATCACTGAACTACTCATCTAAAAGTTATTCTTCTATAAAGGCCAATTTGTATTACATTCTGTTATTTGGTATACCAGAAACGTTCCTCTGAAAATATCTTGCTTTACAAATTTTTATAGTAATTGAAGTGGAAAGTTTACTTTTTAAAGCAACTTTTAGTATTATCTATTCTACCAGCTTTAAGAGAAAATGTATTTATATTCCAGTTTCATCCTAACAAATAGATAGCACAAACTGCATGAAAACCTTACTACGGGAACTATGGACGCAGACAGCAGATCAGCCTCATTGTGCATGAGATGTCACAGCAATTACTGCATACAAGCTCTTACCCATGCAAGAGAGAGAGTTAACTTTTTTGTTGCCTGCCTGGTGGGTTGTTTTTTTTTTTTTTTAAATGAACTCAAATAGTTTAACTCCACAAAGGCACACAGAAATTTTAGCACAAAGGAAAGGAGGAAGAAGCACCAGACAAAGCAGAATAGGACTGTTTCTTTTGGCAGCAGCTCCAGCTAACACCTGAAGTGTTCACAGAACTACAGCCTGTAATTCACATTACTGTTATCTGCATCTTCCAATACCGTATTTTACTCTACTACAATTTATAAAAAATGAATGTTAGGAATTAACAGTCCTGTATTATTGGAAATTGTTACTATATAGCAATCTATTAAAAGTCTGTACAGTTCAACTACAGCAAAACATAATACTGATGTTTCTATCTCACTTTTGCCCCAGGCACTTTTTCCCCAGGTACTATCAAGTGTTACTAGAAAATGCCCCTTTGTTATCCATCATTACTAAAAATTTTCTAGAAGATAAAGAGTTTGGTAAGAAAGCTCACAACTGAGACAATGTTCCAACGACCTGCTATGAGGTTCTTTACTTCTCGTCAGCAGCACTGAGAATTCTCACATTACACCACAAGATTTTGTAATAGCTTAGCATGACACTTCCATGCTGCATCAAATATTAACCAACTAAGTATTAACTTGTTGGAAGACTGGGTAGCTATATCTCTCTTTGCCAATGACTAAGTCGTCATATTTTAGCATTATTCCTAAAAATATGACTTCATTAAGGCTGAAATATATTATTCTAGGTATCTCATCATTCTAGGAAAGAAAAATAACGTGGAGCAACCCAGACACAACTTGAACTCACAACAGCTCTCTTAGCAAGTGAAACTGGTATTTTTATTTATTCCTTATTCACTTGATCAAAGGTAGATTCTGTAACACTATGGCACGTTTTCACGCAGTTTTCCAAAGGCCTCCTTACAACACAGACACCCTATAACGTTCAGCAGATTCCCTTTCTAGTGACCAATAGAAAGGGGGCATTCACCTTTTTAATCTCTACGCAGTAGAGAAAGACGGGGGAGTCAAACTACAAACATGTTCTTCTCTATCATCCCCAATTTTTCAGTAGGCATACCCCTATAGATACAGAGATCCACACAACATGAAAAACACCCCTACGACAAGAAATACTCAAAAACAGTATGTAAAGAGAACTTAGAAACTATTTGGTTATGGAATCTACCAGAAAAATGGGAATAAAACAAATGAATTAAACCCCAGAAAAGACAATGCAATTCAGCATCAGTACTGAAGAGTACAGGAGAAACGCTTGGTAGAATGCAAGCAGCATGGACACTGCCCTAACACAACCTTCACACACAGCAGCAAAAAACACCAAAAAAGCTTTAGCACCTAAAACGATCCTGCATTGTGGCATACAACTGGGTAAAAAAAGCACATCTCATACCACGGTAACCCACCAATATGTAGTTAGACAACCCAATTGTTAATTAAACAATCCTAACTTTACTAAGATATACTTCAGTAACACTTGAAAGCTTCCTTAAGACTTCATGTTAAAAATGCAAAGTTATCGTAATTAAAGATGGGAACATGAGAACCTGAATTCTGCATTTTTTAAGATCATGGAGAGGGGCACACTACACTGAAGACAGACTTGTTTATAATTATTAAGATGACAAAATCTAAACTTAGAAAATATATATTCTTAATATA